TATTTCAAGACGAATATTATTTACGTCTTCTTACAATAATTATATGGTCTTTTTATTTTTTTTCGTCTCTGGACGTTTATTTTAAGACGCATATTATTTACGTCTTCTTACAATAATTATATGGGCTTTTTATTTTTTTTCGTCTCTCTGGACGTTTATTTCAAGACGAATATTATTTACGTCTTCTTATAATAATTATATGGACTTTTTTTTCGTCTCTCGGGACGTTTATTTCAAGACGAATATTATTTACGTCTTCTCATAATAGTTATATGGACTTTTTTATTTTTTTCGTCTCTCGGGACGTTTATTTAAAGACGAATATTGTTTACGTCTTCTCATTTTAATTAGTTGGCCTTTTTTTTCGTCTCTCGGGGCGTTTATTTCAAGACGAATATTATTTACGTCTTCTTATAATAATTATATGGGCTTTTTATTTTTTTTCGACTCTCTGGACGTTTATTTCAAGACGAATATTATTTACGTCTTCTTATAATAATTATATGGGCTTTTTATTTTTTTTTCGTCTCTCGGGACGTTTATTTCAAGACGAGTATTATTTACGTCTTCTCATAATAATCGTATGGGACTTTTATTGAATTAAAACTTCTTTATTGAGTTCGGAGATTGAGGACTGTTAACTTATCTATTTTCAAGTAATTCTATGGAATTTTATGTAGTTAAATGAAATAAATAAATAAACTATAGCTGAACCCAGATACGGTAACGGCCCTTAAAGCGTTAAATATATTTATTTATATATATATATATATTAAAGGGCTTTCCTTTTACGTGGTTTTGGTTCTTTGAAAAGGGTTGCCAGATGTTAAAAAATCAAATGCAAATAATAGAGTTCGGAGATGTATACGTAAAAGATTTAACCCACCGTCACATCTGCACCGAGAATTGAAGAGATTGGTATGTAGAAGTGCAATACGGTTTTATTTTTCAAAAAAGGTTTGCCACATAACAGAAATTAAATTCAAAATATTAAAATTATTTAAAAAGTTATATGAGTTATAACATATGAGTATCAATCCAAATAGTTATGATTATTTTATTTTTTAACTATATATAAGAGGGTTGCCACCTGTTTAAAAAGTGAAACTCAAATAATTGATGGGAAACTTCTTAATCGAGTTTGGAAATATGTACTTGCGTTAAAAATATCACGCCACTGGCGACGGGGAAAGGCAAAGTTTAAATCTTCGAACTAAAGATT